AGCCACCCAGCCATCCACAACTAAATAGTTAAGTTTATTACAATATATATTGTGGTAGAATCTGCCACCCCAAAATATGCCACTTTGGAATAAGAATTATTTTGAGCTAAAAGCACTTAAAAAACAGCAGATACAAAAAGAGTGACCTTCCCTTTCTTCCTGGAAGCAGGAGATAAAACTCCCATGTGAAAGATGTCCTCCCCATATGAGGAAGAAAGAAAACATTCTTTTTTTTTTTTTTTTAAAGATTTTATTTATTTATTTGAGAGAGAGAGAGAATGAGAGACAGACAGCATGAGAGGGAGGAGGGTCAGAGGGAGAAGCAGACTCCCTGCCAAGCAGGGAGCCCGATGCGGGACTCGATCCCAGGACTCCAGGATCATGACCTGAGCCGAAGGCAGTCGCTTAACCAACTGAGCCACCCAGGCGCCCGAAAGAAAACATTCTTATCACCAGAGATAGGGAGTGAGGCTGAGAGGAATCTGTGCAAACAGACCTCATTAAAATAACTCATCTTCCTTTAGCCTCCCCATATATTTTAGTTATGTTTCCACATTGCCTCTCTTTGCTCAACATAGTATAAAAGCATTTTGGTTTTGCCATTTCCCTGAGTCATCATTTCCTTATGAGGTTCCCATGTCACATAAAACTTGTATTAAAACAATCCCATTTACAATGCACCAAAAGTAATAAAATACCTAGGAATAAACCTAAACAAGGAGGTGAAAGACCTATAGTCTGAAAACTATAGAACACTGATGAAAGAAAATGAAAAAGATACAAACAAATGGTAAGATATACCATGCTTATGGATTGGAAGAATAAATATTGTTAAAATGTCCATACTACCCAAGGCAATCTACAGATTCAATGCAATCTCTATCAAAATACTAATAGTATTTTCCACAGAACTAGAATAAATAATCCTAGTATTTGTATGGAACCACAAAAGACCCTAAATAGTCAAAGTAATATTAAAGAAGAACAAAGCTAGGGGTATCACAATCCCAGATTTTAAGATGTACTATACAGCTATAGTAATCAAAATAGTATGGTACTGGCACAAAAACAGACACAGATCAGTGGAACAGAATAGAAAGCCCAGAATAAACACACCTATAATGGTCAGTTAATCTATGACAAAGGAGGCAAGAATATCCAACGGGGAAAAGACAGTCTTTTCAGTAAAAAATGTTGTTGGGAAAACTGGACAGCAACATGTAAAGGAATGAAACTGGACCACTTTCTCACACCATACACAAAAATATACTCAAAATGGATTAAACAGCTAAATGTGAGACCATAAAACTTCTAAAAGAAAAAATATAGGCAGGGCGCCTGGGTGGCTCAGTCGTTAAGCGTCTGCCTTCGGCTCAGGTCATGATCCCAGGGTCCTGGGATCGAGTCCCACATCGGGCTCCC